CCAGCGCTGTGAGCCGCGACATTGACACCGCTGCGAAGTTCATTGGAGCGGGAGCTGCCACCGTGGGAGTGGCGGGATCCGGTGCTGGAATCGGAACCGTGTTCGGTAGCCTTATCATCGGATATGCCAGGTAAGAGACAGCGAAATTTCATATTATATAATGTGTTATATTATATTAATGTCACATCATTATATATTATTACGTGATATGTTACATTATACACTACCATTAAATATTTAGTTGGGTTTTTTTGAGAGAAGTCTGTTATATTCACTAAGACTCCATTTATTTGATCAAAAATACAGTAAAAATAGTAATATTGTGAAATATTGTTTTTATTTAAAATAACTTTTCTATTTGAATATATCGTAAAATGTAATTTATTCCTGTGATTAGTGGTCGACCGATATATCGCCAATGCCGATATATCGGCCGATATTTGGCATTTTTCAAACGTGTCGGCCGATAAGTTTTTCTGTTTGGCCGATGCGTTCGAGGCGGGACTTTTATTTTGACGGCGCTGAGAGTGGCAGCGCCTGAACACAGTGCTCACATTCTCCTTGTTCGCGGTCGTTGTTAACAGTTCTGTCTAATACAGATAGAAGTCTGTCTAATAAACCGATAGAACTGTTAAACAAAGGAATTCAAATGTATACAAAAAGTATTATAACGATTGCTTTTACAACCCTCTACGCACACCTTGGCAATATAATCGCCATTGGCTAGTACATTTTTTTGTTTACTCGCCAGACTGATATACTATATTACACACACACGCGTGCATTTACGTCTTACTTAGCTATCTAAATGGGGACATTACATAGACTTCTATTGTTTTTATATACAGATAGTTAACCTAAACCCACCCCTACCCCTCACAGAAAACTTTCAACATTTTTACAATTTCAAAAGTAAAAAAAAAAAACTTTGTTTACTTTATTTGTATAACAGTTTTACAAATGAGGACATCCACAAATTGAGGTTTTTGCCGATTTTGTCAGGTTTTGCTCACTTTTGGGTACAAATTTGTCCCCAAAATATGGTTAAGTACACACACACACACACACACACACACACACATATGCATACAAACATCCACACACACATAAATAAACAAATAAACATACAAATAAATAAATAAATAGTACAACACTATAATGAGTAGGAAAAAAACGTAACATAACTGAATAAAAACTAAATATAGAGGAGTGTTTCTGACGTTTTGATGCAAGTTCCACGTCGGCTTTTATTATGAAACATCACATTGGCTTGTGGGCGGG